AAGAGCCCCTTACGGACCATCACTACAAAGAGCACTTCTCTTTATCTCAATGGTATCACACATGCATAAAGAGCAAGCTACTTAAAAAGTAAAAGAGCAAGCTACTTAAAGAATATTCGGAAGCATGAACAGATCAAGCATGCAAAAGCATGCGACTCAAGTTGTTTTGCATCATCTGAGTCATTCAGTAAAATCGAGACAAAGTCCTCCGCCCAGAATAAATCACTAACACATGCTGCCTTCATGATTCACTTTGAGTGAAACCATAAACAGTTGTTTTTTAGATGCAGAAATGTTTTTAAAAATTGTAAAATCAAGTGCAAAAAAACAAGTACACACAGGACCATTAAAATGAAATAACTATTTAATAATCTAAATAATAGTTTTCCACAATAAATAACTTTTTTGTGCAGTGGAAAGTTTCCATGAATGTTAAAGGTTCTTAATGCAACCATAGATGCCAATGAAGAACCTATATTTTAAAAATGCACCTGCAAAACAAGAGGCCCCAAAACAAAGTGGGGGACATGCAATGCAGCATAGTTATGGGACCTCATAAAGATGTTGAACTCACATTCCACTATAAACACGAGCACCCTGCTGATTTTGGAGGCGGGTCTTGGCGAGATCAATGGGAAACACGCAGGTCACACCCACCAGTCCAGCCACGCCCCCGTTAATCAGCTTAGCAGGGAGGCTGTGAACACCAGGAAACACACACATGCAGGACAAAAACCACACACAAAAACATGTCAATATAACGACTTGTGGATCTCAAATGATATATACGACATCAGTGGAAAATTTACCTCAATTTCTTCTCGGCCATTTTGGCCACACTTTAACTGATTTCCTCCAATTCTTCTCTCTCTGCTGCAAAAGTTTCAGGATAAACCGTCCACGGCTCACCCAGCCTGCCTTCTGGCACGGCGTGCTGACCTTCACACCCTTCCCTTTAGGGAGAACAGCCACTCTGGTAAATATAAATCACCTTGAAACTTGCTAAGACACAATTGAAATACAATTCAGGACATATGACTTTTTAGTATAACATGCAATATTTCTGCAATAAAAATAGACTTTACATTTGTTTTACAATCACTGATTTTACTTTCTGCTTTTCTCAGGCCCAGCTCCAGAATCACATCACTTAGGGTGCTTCGGTCGCCGTGATTTTGCCAAGTAAGACATGTTCAGTAACACATCTTTTGTTGATCATGGATCAACATTACTGTCCAAAAATATAGACCTAACCCAATCCCTAACCTAACCCTATCCATAATTTATTCCTAAAATCAGAGGGAAATGATAGGTGAATAAGAAGGGTGTAGAAGCATCTAACCCTGACTGTAAGCCTAAAACTGACATTTCTTGAAACCTTATCCCTCAGTCCTGATTGGTTGATTGGAATGTTGTTCCAGGATCAACAAGGATGTTGATCCAGGAACATGTTGTACTTGGTGAAATCACATTCACCGAACAAATATTGCTGCGGCAATTTAAACGGTGAGTGGATTCTAACTTAAACGCTCTGATTGGCTGTTGGGTTCAAGAAATCAACAGATATGTCTGTGATTGTCTACATTGCTCAACGCGGCAAAAGATGTTAACATCACTGGATAGTTTGCCAAATCTGCAATGAAATGCCATTATAACAGCATTAACTGAGGGTGCTTGGCACCCTCTAGCACCCCCGTAGAACCGGGCCTGGCTTTTCTACAGTGCACAAACAGAACATCCTCCCTCCTAAAGTCTCTCTAATCTCGCTGCTAATGAGGTTGTGACCTCTTGAATTAATCTAGAGAAGAGAGCTAACAGGTGAGGGGCTTATCAACATGACTTCCTGTTCTTCAACACAGTATCAACAACATCATTTGTAAAAAAAGATGTAAATATAGATGTCTACAATAGATTGTGCTCTCTAAGTTTTTATTGACTACATATATAATACTAAAGTCTTATACATCAAACTTTTATATTAGTATATCAGTGTTTTTAGTTTTCTAGAGTAGAATGATGTAGTGTAAACCTTATTTGAGTAGTTGACACATAAAATGTCTCTGTCTTTTATTCTAGATTTACCTGTGAAAATGTATATATGTATAAGGAAATGTCTATATCTTCCTGTAAAAAAATGTACCACTTTATTTATATTGCTCACTTTAAATGGTTCTGCAGTTTGACAAATATATATTTTTAAATATTTAAGGTACTGCTTTATAAAAAGGTTCATTGGTTAATGCATTAACTAACGATCTCTGTTAATGTTAGATAATAAAAATACAACTGTACATTCTTAGTTCGTTATCTCAAGACCTTTAATTAATATTAAAAGATACAATTATTGATTTTAATAATGTACTATTAATTGTTGAAATTAAAAATAACCAAAATTAATGAAAGCTTTAGAAGTATTTTAATTGTTAATTCATGTTAAATAATATAGTTAACTAATGTTAGCAAATGGAACCTTATTGTAAAGTGTTACAATAATTTACATATTCTCAAATAAGGGATATAAAGCTGCATACATAAATAGTATATTTAAAATAGTTCTGAATGGAAGTCATTCCACTGAAACCAGTTGAAATTTTGTCAACTACTCATCACTGCAGGAAAAATTGCAGGATTTCTTTACTATTTTTCTTGCTTTCTCTTTTCCCTCACTTGTCCTAAAGTCCCCCTTTCGTAACTTTTCTCTTTCCTCGTGTATGTTTCCATTAATTCTCTCCTCATTTGGGGTACCATTCTTACTTTCACCCCTCTATCTTTTTTCCTCCTGCATACTGACATCCTCCCTTTTCTCTGTCCCTCTCTTTTCCTCTCGCGCTGTCTTTTCTGGAGCCCAGTGGCATTCTGAGCATGCATTTCTCTTCAGCACTGCTTTCTTTCAACCCTGCTCTATTCATACCACTCCACTGCCAAAACATAGACAAGTGAGATCTGGCCCCCAAACCCGATCCTTAAGCGCTCCCTCACAAGTCTTTCCACAACTACCCCAAACAGATCCCCCTCACGCAAGCCTGCATATTTGACCAATTCACAAGTTAGGAACTCTGTTTGAGAGGATGATTATCATGTTCTTACCTCTGTCAGTGTATTGACCGGGCAGATCAAGCTGTCCACTTCCCCCCTCTGCACGCTGACAATGTGTGCAGCAGCCGTAGTCAGGCACAAGAGATCCGACAGAGCCAGCCGCCACTCAGGGGCCATTGCATAAACACAAGCATTGTCCCTCCGTGTTTAAGTCCCTCCCTCTTGTGGTGACTCCCAGTGACATAGACAGGGAATGAACAGCTTTCCACTAATGAAACTTGACACACATTCACACATATACAAGCATGTACATTGCATTACACAACTTCATCTCAAATTACAAAAAAAAAGACAAAAAATATTATATTAACACAATTATATTAAAAATAAATAAAAAAATTATGAAATTAGAAATGTAACAGTCATTGCATCCATTATCTGCTACATCCACAGTTTTGGCTACCAAATGATTATTGATTATCATAATGAAACAAATACATATTGATGATCATTTGTGTTGCTGTAACAAACCAAAATGCCATAATTCACATCAAATGTTAGACAGACAGACAGACAGACAATAGACAGACAGACAGACAGACAGACAGACAGACAGACAGACAGACAATAGATAGATAGATAGATAGATAGATAGATAGATAGATAGATAGACTGCGCCGGGTGTGTGTTCTTTGTGTGTGTGTGTGTGTGTGTGTGTGTGTGTTCACCTACTCGCTGCTGTGTGTGTGCACTTGGATGGGTTAAATGCAGATCTCAAATTCCGAGTATGGGACACCATACTTGGCTACGACAGACAGATAGATATACAGACAGCCAGATAGATAGCTAGATAGATAGATATACAGACAGACAGACAGATAGATAGATATACAGGCAGACAGACAGACAGATAGATAGATAGATATACAGGCAGACAGACAGACAGACAGATAGAGGCCTAATGGTTAGAGAGTCAGACTTGTAACCCAAAGGTCGGGGGTACTGGCAGGGATTGTAGATGGGGGGAGTGAATGACCAGCGCTCTCTTCCACTCAATATATACGATAATTATTAAACATATGATAGCAAAAACATTACAGACTACTCACCGTGCTCTCTCGTTGTCAATAACGCCGCCCCTCACTTCCGGTTCTGTGGCTGCGGTTCTGAAACTGCTGGCGCTGCGGGTCTGCAGCTGGATTCTATTGGTCATATGTAGGCACACCAACAGTGTGCATTATATTTTCATGTCAACAGGAGGCGCTGGATCCTTATATTGAACACCAGTTTGTAATTCACATCATTACAATTAGTCAAAAGGTATTAGTCTTAAAAACTCGTGTCTGCTGTTAAAAATAATAATAATAATTCGATCTAAGGACTTATACTTTGTTTATAATCACTATGCCAAAACACTATTTAGAAACAACATTAGCATTTCAAATTACAATCAACCTTTGTCGTCGGTAACAAACAACAGAAATTTCTTATTTTAATTCGTTCGTTCACTGCTACAATTAAACGGTAAATCAAACAAATAATTTATGATAGAAAAAAAACACTAATTAAACGCAAAAATGTCAGTGTAACGTATTATCATGCTATCGTCCGTACACATGTCATATTCTAGATCATTCGCGAGGATTCTCCAGTAATAACAAGCCAACAGAGCAACTTCCCTTTCAACGAAATTCAAATGTTTGTGCATTCCCTTTAAACGAACATACCATTTCAAGCGAAGGTAGGACACCTGACCGCAAAGACTGACTAACTGCGAGATTTTTTCTCTCACAGTGACTCAATCAGGTCAGCTAGTTATTAAAAGTTTCTAATATTGTAAACAGCAGATATTATAAAGGTTTCGTTTGATTTGTGTTGATATTGTATTTGTTTTGGTACGCGTAGACCCCTATTTCCGTGACAGATGGTAGCGCCCAGCCCATCTGTTCTCCTCCTGTGAAATGCGGATTGAAACAGATTGTTCGACTCCACGGGTCGCAATGGCTACTGCACCGCAAGGACAACAAGTTTTGCTGTTCAGTTAAACAAGTCCTATGTGACGAACACGACGGACGGAATCGTCTAAGCCACACTTTTTAATGTGAGACACTCGTTGGAAAACAGAAAAATGTCCCAGGGATGTATAACTTCTGTGGAGGAGATCCAGTCTTGGTGGGAAGTCCCCGCCATAGCGCACTTCTGCTCTCTCTTCAGGACGGCGTTCAATTTACCAGACTTTGAAATCGAGGTAAATTATACCTGTCCTAATTTACGCCTCCGTTTCCTTTCCGTCAGGTTCATTAAAACGAAACTAAACAAAAAAAAGTTGGCCATATTTCCCAACCATATGACTTTGTTTGTTACTTTAAACATTCACACTATTAGTGAGCTAAGTTAATAATGGTGCGCCAGCGCAATTCTGTGATAGTGATATTGATAGAATAAAGTCAGTTATTTAGCGTTGGTTTATATAATAACAGAGCTAAACCGTCCAGCCAGCCAGACGTCTACCCAAAACACTGGACGTGCTGACTGTTGTGTTTATGATTTTTTTTTTTTTACTTCAAAATCAGATTTTAATAAAGACAAAGCTTGTTTTTTTCAGTGGTTAGTAGTGTTTGGTTTTGTCTTTGTTTATAAACTGCGTGACTGAGTACCGAGTTGGGTTATATAGTAGGTTAGACTTTGTTTCACCTTGTTGAAGTTCAACAAATTGTTAATGTAATCAGTCTGTCCGTATCCGCGTTGAAGTTTAGCCTTAAATTCGATTTTAAAGTCGCCTGTTTATTCTCGTGAGACCTGTTCTTTCATTTTGGGATTCACGCCGCAAGTGGCGTCGAGTAAGATTGACTCATAAACTTTCTAGTGTCTTGATTAAAACTGGATCACCTGGGCTTGTTTTGTTGTGCTGTGTTGTTTAAGCTTGGTGCTTTGTTGTAAACTCAAGCCAAGTTCATGATTATTGGGTTACAAGTTTATTGTTGGATCACAGGCTGCCTTCGAATTGGTCATTGTTCCATACAGTCTGTCTGTTTTGTTTATTGATTTAGTCTCTTTACAATGATGCTGTAAAATTAGTCTCAAGTTGATCTGTCGGTGCGAATGTAAACCCGAAACGTTTAAATAGAGTCGTTTTTACATTGACACCCCCATTTTTAACATCTCCCCCTTAACTTGCATTTGGAAACAACAGTGAATTTGTCACAGGCATCAGTAAACTCGGTCCATCTCGACCCCCACATGTGTGAAACGTGCTAGTCACTGGCTTTGTTATTGCATGAAGGATTTGAGGTGCTGATCACCGCGTGCTGCTTCCCAGAAAAAGTTATAACTGGCATGATCAGTTAGGAATTTCCTACTAGAGTTTTACGATATTGCCCTTTTTATGAAAGATTATCATAAGTGTCTGATATGCAGAAATGACTTTTAATTATTGTTGTTTTTTTTACTCAAAATAACTAAATAAACAATAAAACAGCTTTTTATTAAAAACAACATAAATTATTACTGTTAAAGAATTATTATTGAATTATGCAGCTGTTAATTATAAAGCTAATTTATTTTATGCTGAATTTTTTTTGTAATAAAAATGTATTGCTTAAGAATAAATTGCTGTATTTAAAAAAAGTAATTCAAGCAATACTTTTAAATAAGTTACTTTGCCTGTAGGTGCTATTTTTCAGAGAAAAGTGATGCCATTGATCAGTAAAGTATTAATAAACTAAAGTTGAACAGTGAATATTTGTGAAAAAATAGATGTCATCGGTTTCTAATTGGTATGTTAGATGATTGCTATGGCATGACCATTTTTGGGTCATGTTTGATTTAGGTTTTTTTTTTTTTTGCAACACCGAGCTTCCTGAATATGTTTACTGTGTGCACAGTTTGTGTAATCTTATTTAATGCAGTGATCACAGATTACAGGCAGTGTGTGTCAATGCAGTGTCAAAGGATTTACATTCAGAGGGTGGGGGTCTGTGTCAGGCGCAAGTCAATGACCGTTTCGCGATTCATCCTTGCATCCTAATTGCATTCAGCATAGGTGTCCAAGGTCATTCAGCACAAAAGCTCTCAGTCCCACTTCAGTATCCTGGTAACTTTGCAGCCGTGCGTGAATGGGATTGTGAATAATCCAATCGGTTGCTTTAATCTTGTGATTGAGACGTTTTTCAAGTCATCCCTCACATTGTACTAGTCTTCTATTATAATCTTTTGTCTTAATCTCAATTGTCCTAATGCTTATTAGTGCTAGACTGGCTGTTATACACAGTAAGGATTCTCATGTCTTTGCATTACCGCAGAAGATTTTGTGTGAAAATTTGGTTGAACATGTTTTGGCATTGTAATTCCTTATAGATTTGAAGAACTTTTCAATTTTATGTTTAGTTCAAGTGCAAAAATGCTAAATTGGACTTTTGTTTTACTTGCATCCACTTTGTGTCTTTGGATTTCTGTCAGACTTTGTCATCTCATTTGCTTGAGCCAGTCAACACAAGTTGATGGGAATGTAATCAAAGCAGATCTACCAGCAACTCGCTCAAAGATGATCCTCAGTGTGGTGATGCATCGGCTTAGCTGACATTTTCATGTACCTGATCTGTTTGTTTTCAGCCCTGGTGGGTCTTATCCAGGGCCATGTCTAAAAAAAAAAAAGCAGGTGGATAGTTCAGTAAATAGAACCCAAATCCAGGTATAAGAGGATACAATGTTTTTTACGTAGGAGAAAGCCTACCCTAAAAGGTGGCTCTATGACTGTTTGTCTTAAATTAACAGATTAATTTTGCACGTTGATTTTCTCACACACCTAATTTTTGTCACAAAGACCTTGATCTCACCTGTTGAATAAGCTATTTGTTCATCAGTTGAATCAAACTCTGACTTCTGAACATTTTATAATATAAACTGGGAAAAGCAAAGTCAGGAATCTTGTTTTATCAAATAATCTTGCATTATTTTGCCATAAAAAGGCTAAAAACCATTGAAAGATTGAATTTGCTGATGATTGTCATTGGTCACCTTCCGAGCACAAGCTTTGTGTGTCGAACACAGTGGATATTACAGAGGCAGTGATGCAGTCACCAAATACACAAAATAATGTTATTTTTAGCAGCATCATATGACCCCTTTAAGGTGTTGGCCAGCTCCTTTTTTCTCAGGGGCTGACAATGGAGATTCTTCTTGGCAAGCTGACAATACGGCTCCTTGCACATTGTTCTTTGGTTACACTTCACAATCTCGCTCCATATCTCTGCCCTAGATGAGAGAAGTGCTCGGCAGGAAGAGGCCTTATTCGCTTGGGCTCTCTCCGTGCTCTTTGTCTGTGTGAAGCACGCTTGATTTCCTGGCAGTGTGGCTGTGAAACGAGCCCTGAAATCCCACCGCCTCCAAGAGCTGAGAGAGGCTTCTTCAGGATGTCCTCCTCACCCCTCATACACAAACACAGCCAGAGGACCAAGCCTGCTGACTCCACACAGAGGATGAGAGTTGTTGTTTTGTTGCTTGTCTGTTTTCATGTCTTCATTATCAATTTGATGGTGTCTAGAGAGTGGGTGGATAATTGATCTGTGAGCGTTTGTTCCAAGCGTTTGCCACAGCAAAAGATATATACAAAAGATTTATATATATATGTTTTTTTTTTTAATTTGCAAAGATTACATTTTTACAGGGTTTGATGCAGTCATCCTCGTAATTGACTCTTCATTTGATCCTCTTGTGGCTGGACTCCTTTTGCACAGGTTTGCTAGCTGTTTCTCTGTGTCTTTTCTAATGAGAATCTGTGACTGATCGAGTTTATAATTCAGACTACTGATGCACCCCTAATTAACGCTTGTCTCTGTCAGAGATCACATAGGCCATTGTGCAAGAGCTAATTAAGCCTTTGTCGAGCTCTGATGTAGCACGTCCACATGTTCCCTGACAGTTGTTTGTCTCATCCATGATCTTTTACATGGCAGAATTTTCTCAGTGTCTTCCCAGTGGATTATCACAGACTTCCCCCTTTCATCTTCCTCATCTCACCTTCAGCTCTGGGTACAAATGCCCCCTTATGCCCCCTTTCCTCCACCCAACTTGGGGTTGTGTGTTCTGCCAGTGTTGAATAGAGCCTCATTCACGTTCCTCCTCACACACTGCTACTCCATCATTGGCCCTGGCATGAGCATGACTAAATCACAGATGGTGGCTTTCTTTGCCTCTGCCCCCGGAGAGCCAAGATGGTCGTAACTGGGTGCTGGTGTTCGTCTGGGGCACCTTTTCTTTAGAGCCTCGCACTGCTTGATTGTAAAGGGAGATTTAATCTCAATGGGGCCTGGCGGAGCGGGAGCCGACAACGGCTCTTGTTTTGAAAAGCAGATGGATTAAGATGAGGAAAATGGATTTGTGTCAGGAGGATCTGTAGTGCTCTCTCGTTTTGCTCCAACACCGGGTGCCGATTGAGAAGGATGGCCATGAGCGTGTATGGGTGTGCATGTGTGAAGCCTGTGTTGAATTAGCGGCTTTGATGTGTGAGGGGCTCATTCTCGGTAGAGCTCCTGTGGTTTTGAGGAGGAGGAAGTGAACTCTGGCTGTGGGATTTGCACCATCAATAACTGATGGGTCATCAGGCCTTGTTTCAGACCCCAGATGCTGCAGCTTGAAAAGGACTGCTCTCACCCACCTCCATTCTAGATAATTTAAAGGGGTCATATGATGCGATTTCAAGTTTTCCTTTCTCTTTGGAGTGTTACAAGCTGTTTGTGAATAGATAAGATCCCTAAAGTTGCAAAGACTAAAGTCTCAAACCTAAAGAGATATTCTTTATAAAAGTTAAGACTCGTCCACGCCCTCCTAAAACGCCTCGTTTAAACACGCCCCCACGCGCATTCATAATAAAACGTGCCTCACACGGCTCTGGGGGGTGAATAAAGGCCTTCTGTAGTGAATCCATGCATTTTGTAAGAAAAATATCCATATTTAAAATGTAATAAACACTTTTCTCTCACTTCCGTTATCTGTCAGACGGGGAAGCCGTTCCGGTGGAAGGCATATGACGTATGCGCAGTGCGCGCGCCTCTGAGATATGCTAGTCTCGCGAGTTTGTTTATAGGAGCAAAGGAAGCAA